GTCTCTACTGGGTGCTTCTTCCTGTTGCTCATCATGGTTGCCCAAATACTGAGTTTCTTTGTGAAGTTCAGCAGTTTCACGATGCTGCTGTCCGACACAAAAACACAATGCGCTGAGTTTCTTTAAGGTTTTAACTACAGGCTTTGCAACTTTTGTCAAATATATTCCTTGCAAATATCGGTCAAGAGCAGTGATACTGCTCATGTAACTTGAACGTTCAAGCTAATTAACACAGTTGTATATAATCTGATCTGAAGAGAATAGAAAATCCTGACAATAACACATGAAGTATTAAAGACACCCATTTTAGACAACCTTCTGCTTGACTATTTCAAAAGACAAAACATTTTCCCAAAATTGGCTGACTTTTGCAAAATACCAAGAGGAAAAAGTACCATCCAGACTGCTGCTGTTGCCATATTCAAATAGAGATACAACTCAAGGGGCTCAGGATGAAGCAAGTAGCATGAGTGGCTGGACTGAAAAATGGAACTCTGCTTTCCAATAATTGTCCCCTCCAGCTGGTATAGAACACAGTTACTTAGGGAAGATTGCTCATACAATGGAAACCTCAAGAACTGTTGAGAAATACATTCACAGACTGACACTGATTGAAGAAACTAGAAGCAAAACGTTTGGATTTGCCCGGGATCTGAAAATAAAACTGCCTCAAAAACTAATCTGTGGATCAAGAGAAGCCATCCTAAATAGCTTATATTTCTAGAAAAAGTTCCAGAGAAGGATGACACACATTTCCCTTGGCACTTGAAGGCAACTATGGACAGATGTTGACTTGAACTATACATACATTCTCCAATGTAGTACTTTCACACTTGCCTTACTTACAACTGATCAGGAAAGCAGCATTGGCACTTGGGCCTTAGATGTGCTCCATCTTTGTAAAAGGAAGACAGATTCTCAGGAACTGCAATATAAAACTTTGTGAACCAGAAACTTTGACCAGAGAAAGCAGCACAAGAGTTTCCAGTACAAGGCCTCTAAAGGACAAGCTGAATATTTGTTCTGGTCAAAGAATTAGCATACAATTTTGCAGAAAATCTGCATATAATGAAAAAGCGGGTGTCTGGAACACACTCCAAGACACTCTGTTGGCCTTCCAGGAATGGTGGAGATTCTCCTGTTTTCTGATTCCTCTGCATTTAAAAACTGAATAATAATGGAAATTAATTTAAGTTTTACCAATCTAGATCCCCTTGGTTCTCAATTCAGCATCACAGTGGATTTACAACACCTGCTAACAAGATTATACTGTAACCACACACACCCATAAAGGTATTTCAAAGCAGACAAGCGCAAAATACAGCTAAGTTCAAAACCAGGGAAGAAATATAGTTTAATATTGTTTTAGATGATAGGGCGTGTTCCTCCCAACCTCCCAAGTGTACATTTCCCTAGATGAAAAGAAGAATTGTAAAGTTTAGCTGGCATAGATGTACTGAATGCTAGAAGCTCAAAATGAAATTGCAAACAAGAGCATAACAAAATACAAAGGAAAAGCTCAGTAAAGCAGGCTACAGTTCTAACGTTACAATATTAGGAGAAAGCCAGTTACTTTCTGAATCTTTATAATGTTCCTCCAAGAAGTCATTTTCATCTTCTGTTCCACGGCACTTCTCCTTTTAGGATGAGTGCCAAGTCTTCAGAGAAAAAATGTTTCAACCATCTTTTATCTTAGGGAGAAAATAATGCCAGCAAGCAAACACAGTCCAAATCAGCAGCATCATTTCCAAGGTAAAGCTTCCTTCCTCTTCCCTGCTTTTAATGACAAACTGATCTTCTTTAAATGACTGATTCCTCCACTGTTGCCACAACCAAGAGGAGTGTTCTATTGCTGGTGCAAAACCTATAATGAATGGGTGGAAGATGATACTCTGAATCCTCCGTTACAGCAGTCAAGGGCCTTATAAGTCTACTGGCCACAAAACTGACAAAGCTGACACTTCAAAAAAGATGAAACCTGTCAGCCATTCTGTCTCAAAACATAATGGAGAAACTCATTCAGAAGCTGTGAGCCAGTTACCTGACTGATGTATGTATATGTTCAAAAGGTAAACAAGGCAAAAAGCTGTTTAATGAAATTCAGAAAAAGAAATCAATAACCTCCAAATTAAAAAAAAAAATAAACCACACACAAAAATGTATGATACTAGGAGCCTGAATGCAAAGTATTGCTTGAACGTTGCCCTTCAATGGAAATGCAGGAGGATCACACATGCTGAAAAAAGCTAACCTTTAAAGAGTCAGCTGAAGGACCTCCAAGCTAGAACTGTTTACTATTTCCATCCCCAAGAATGCAAAGTAGAGCTATAAAATGCAAAACACACAATTTGACAATCCTTGGGAAGCTATTCAATTTGTTGGAGAGGATACAACACATTTTAGGAGAATGGAGAAAAAAACCGCCAGGCCTCTCTTTCCTTATTTGGTGACAAGAAAGTGCAATAAAGCGTTCATTGGGTTTTGTTCAGTTGTCGGACTTTTGCACGTCTGTGTTCTGGCCAAGACAAGGGACTCTGAGGTTTTTCTGCAGCACATGAGCATCTGCTGGCTCTATCCTCTTGTAGTAGTTCTTCTTTGTCTCAATTATCTCAAATCCAAACTTTCTGTAGAAGTCGATTGCTGATTCATTGCTAATCTGGACATGACTGAGATTTTAAAAAAGAGATAAAACAAATACATTAGCCTTTTCGCTGAAAGATGAGAATTGAGTTTACATCCTAATGAACAGTATACCTGAAGACAGTGCGGTGCATGTGTGTGGAAGGACAGAAGAAATCCAAAGATTACCACATGGGAGCATAAAGACAGGACCATCCAACCTCTAACAAGGTTCCATGTTACATTCACACATTAGTGGGGCAGATTTTGTTTAAAGTATGTTTTCAATAACTTCTCAAAAAGATCTGATATAGGCATGTGATTATTCTCAGTAATCCTCTGTTCACTGACAATTGCAGTGTCCAAAATTCTGCACAGAACAGTTGATTTTGTCTACTAATTAATAACATTAATTATGTTCCATCAAGTCAATCTAGACTAATGGCAATGCATATCAGGATTTTCCAGGTATAAAGTACAGTGGTGCCTCGCTTTGCAATTGCCCCATTTAACGACGAAACCGCATTACGATGAACTTTTTGCGATCGCAAAACGATGTTTCTTATGGGGGAATTTCGCTTTGCGATGATCGGTTCCCTGCTTTGGGAACCGATTCTTCGCAAAACGACGATTTTCCAGCAGCTGATCGGCGGTTCCAAAACAGCGCCAGGTAAACAAAATCCCCCCCCCGCTGTTTTCTGGGATGGATTCCTCGCTGCACAGGCAGTGAAAATGGCCGCCCTATGGAGGATCTTCGCTGGACGGTGAGTTTCAAGCCCTTTGGAAAGCATTAAACAGGTTTTAATGCGTTTCAATGGTTTTTTTCTTTTCGCATTACGTTTTTGTTCTACAGCGATTTCGCTGGAATGAATTAACGTAATGCGAGGCACTACTGTACTCAGAAGTTGTTTTCCAATCTCTTCTGGTGGTGATCTGTGCAGTTTGTTCAAGGCCACACAGGTTTATCTCCAAGGAAGTAGAGTTGGGAATCAAAACTCCAAGCCCCTGGTTCTGTGGTCAGGTACTCAATCAGTTATCCAACCAGCTCTACACACAGAGGGACAACACCTAGGCTTGTTATTCTTAAGCAATCAGCATCACCCAAGGACCTACTGAAAGCAATCCTGGAAATTTTGATAGGGCTTCCAACAATTTCCAACATTATATCATGTCAAGAGAAAAAAACCCTGCAGGAACAATTTCAGGCAGAGTTGGAAATGAGGGCTCATCAGCTTTGTTCTCATCTCCACATACTACTATTAATCTCTGAAGACTCAAACTGAATTTGAGAATTGCACAATTTTGTTATGGTATCTAAGACACTGAGGGCTAGGAGACAGAGAAAGAGTAAACTGAATAATCTGCACAGACGTTTATGGAATCTCATAAAACTGAAGCTTCAATCCAAGAACAGCTGACTCTATAAAACTTTTTGGAAAATATTATATGAATATATTGTCTATTAAAACAGAATTAGAATGTATAATCTCTATTTCATATCTCGTCCTGTCATTCCCTTTTCCTCTTGCCTTCACACTTTCCCAACATCAGGGGCTTTTCCAGGGAGTCGTCGCTTCTCCTGAGATGGCCAAAGTATTGAAGCCTCAGCTTCAGGATCTGTCCTTCCAGTGAGCACTCTGGGTTGATTTCCTTCAAAATGGATAGGTTTGTTCTGCATTCCATGGGACTCTCAAGAGCCTCCTCCAGCACCACAATTCAAAAGCATCCATTCTTAGGCGGTCAGCCTTCTTTAAGGTCCAGCTCTCATTCCCATACATCACTGCTGGAAAAACCACAGCTTTGGCTATGCGGACCTTTGTTGGCAAGGTGATGCTTCTGCCTTTTAAGATGCCGTCTAGGTTTGTCAATGCTTTCCTCCCAAGAAGCAGGTATCTTTTAATTTTTTTGGCTGCTGTCACCATCATGGAGCCCAAGAAGGTAAAATCTGTCACTGCCTCCATATCTTCCCCTTCTATTTGCCAGGAGGTGATGGGGCAAGTGGCCATGATCTTAGTTTTTTTGATGTTGAGTTTCAGACCATTTTTTGCGCTCTCCTCTTTCACCCTCATTAGGAGATTCTTTAATTCCTCCTCACTTTCTGCCATCAGAGTGGTATCATCTGTATATCTGAGGCTGTTGATATTTCTTCCTGCAATCTTAATTCCGGTTTGGGATTCAGTTAGGGAGGTCTCCACTGGGCAGCACAGTATATGTTATGCTAGCATCACTCCCACTTGCCATTATAACCCCAACCACATGCAGACCCTTAAGACCAGCCTCAAGGCTGAAAACGTTCCAGGTGATGGGAATTAAAGTTCTATGGAATATGTCTTGCACACGCTAGTGCCTATATCGAGTAGTTCTACTATCTTTTCACTGCTCCTGGGCTGTTCTAAATTACTTCAGATATCTAAAAAAGCTGGTGGGGGAGAGTATGTCATGAAAATTCCCCAAAGCAATGTTTTTAAAATATTAAGTATAGGATATGAGGTGTTTGGGATGGCAAGCTCCTTGGGAAGTCATGCTCACACCTGAGTTGCAACAAAACACTTGCCACCTCAAAACTGGATCGATGCTGCAATTAGTACTGAGCTGAGCTAAGATATGTCAGGCTTGCCTAGGGTGCCATCTCAGTAATATCAACCAGGTTTATAAAACCAAGGATGATCAAGGTCTTATTGTGAACCAACCCTGCACTGAACACTATCAGACTAAGTAGAAGAGCACTGAATCACGGTAAAAAAAATGGGGGCTGGAATTTCTCCTGTGATGGTAGACTTGCCTCAGGACAACTGTCTTGCCTGACTGGCAGTAGGTTAGGCCTCTGAACTTTTAAGTCAGTTCTACGAAAGAACAACCTTCTATCATTCACACTTGTTATGAAATCTTTCCTTGTAATGGGGAGAACTAGAAACTGACCAGGGAGACATGCAACAAAACCTCAGTCTCCGTATCTGTTACGGCCAAATATGTCAGATACACCTACGAAAGAACAACCTTCTATCATTCACACTTGTTATGAAATCTTTCCTTGTAATGGGGAGAACTAGAAACTGACCAGGGAGACATGCAACAAAACCTCAGTCTCCGTATCTGTTACAGCCAAACATGTCAGATACACTACTACCATGTTTCCCTGAAAATAAGACAGGGTCTTATATTAATTTTTGCTCTAAAAACGCATTAGGGCTTAATTTCGGGGGACATTTTTCATGTACAACAATCTACATTTATTTAAATACAGTTGTTTCATCTTCTTCTGGTTGCTGCACAATGGTGGAGGGCAGGGTTTCACTTAACTGGGGCTTATTTTGGGGGTAGGGCTTACATTACAAGCATCCTAAAAATCATACTAGGGCTTATTTTCAGGTTAGGTCTTATTTTCAGGGAAAGGTAAAGGTAAAGGTTCCCCTTGACAATTTTTGTCCAGTCGTGTTTGCCTCTAGGGGGCGGTGCTCATCCCAGTTTCCAAGGCACAGAGCCAGCATTTTGTCCGAAGACAATCTTCCGTGGTCACATGGCCAGTGCGACTAGACACGGAACGCTGTTACCTTCCCACCGAGGTGGTCCCTATTGATCTACTTGCATCTGCATGCTTTCGAACCGCTAGGTTGGCGGGAGCTGGGACAAGCAACGGGCGCTCACTCCGTCGCGTGGATTCGATCTTATGACTGCTGATCTTCTGACCCTGCAGCACAGGCTTCTGCGGTTTAGCCCACAGCGCCACCACGTCCCTTTTATTTTCAGGGAAACGGTCATCAAATGAAGGTGGTTTTATATCCAAGAGGCAACACTATATTGATACTCTTTTATTCACATTTCTCCAAAAATGCTCTCAGAATGGTTTGCATATGACCAATTAACAAATAACCCTTAGCTGTTGGCTTATATACTCTAAGTGACATAGCCAGAAAGGGGGGGGGGGGACAAGCAAGGAGGCAGGAGAAAAAAACCTCAGGCCCCTATATTTGAACCAGTTTTTATAATGACCAACTTTAAATAAATAAGCATGCTCAGTAGCCAAAATCCTATTATATGTGGTCTAAGTCCATTGGTACCATATCTGATGATACCAATTAAGAAGTCAGTGGTGGCATTTGGATTTGCACACCAGTCATGTGACTTGGTGCATGACAGCTTATGTCTACACTAACTTCTTACCCAGAAGCAATTCACTAGAAAGAAATTATACTAATGGGTTTGTGCCAAGGAAATCAAGGGAAGCTCCCTGAAGAATGTGAGGAATGTGAACACATTTGGATGTCCCCTGAGCAAAGGTGGCACCCTGCCAACTGATCCTACTACTCCAGAAGCACCACTGCACTGCTTTTAACATGAATGAAGAAGATGAACTTGTGCCAGCATATTTCGTCAAAGTGGGTTCTAAGCCAGTATATTTAGGCCAAACATTTACACTCTACAATATCAATAACCAATAGCTTTTTGAGGTTTCTCATGCCTATGGAAGAAGTCACATAAGTGATGGTTGCGTTTTCCATACTGCCTTTCTTGTGAACAACTGAACTGTGTTGCTCATGCCCAAAGAATATACCAAATAAAAAGAGCCCATTACACCCCAGAAACAGCTTAGATCACTTCTGCAATTGTTATGTTATTTGAATTCTTAAGCATATATCAGGATCATGGCTGCTATATTTAAGACTATACTGGACAACAGGAATCTCCGGAACTTTAAGGTCTTATAGCAATTGCAATACATTAAGACTTTTCATTCTGTGCAGCAGCAGTGGCAAACCAAACAAAAAAAGGGCACAACTGATCCATTCTCTGTAGAAAAGCTAAAATACCTATAGCCCCTTTCACTTACAGATAGATATTGTCAAAGGTGCCATCTTTTTCACAGATGTTTAACACGTGATTCAACATTTTAGTTCCTGAAAAAGAATCAAAGACAAAACAGAATAAACAAGAGTTATTTCTAATCTTTTCAAGGTTCAGATGATCATCCTAACACATAACAGCATTGTTACCACAATCTGAAATCAGAAAGTTACCAGATTATCAGAGCAGAATTGAGTTTACTCTCTCAGACAAATGCTGAAATCCTATTTCGTAACTTAGACCTGCAGAAGGGTGGCAATGTCTCTGGTAGGGGGTGATTTTCAGTAATTAAAAATTTTCTATTTCTGTCCCACAGCTTTTCTGACTCCTATATAATCCTTTCACTGTGTGGAATGCACAGAAGCCATAGAAGGGAAATCATATGTAACTAACAAAAATCACCACCACAGAATGTTATCAGCAGTGGGACATTTTTGGTAATTAATAACTTCTTCCTTCTATCCCACAGCTCCCACAGGTCTCACATGACAAAATGGATGGTGCAGCAGCTGGAAAACATGTGGAAGAGAAACTGGAAGTTTTTAATTACTTAAAAATCACCATTCACCCTTATGCAACAGGATTGCAGCCAAGAATGTTTTAACATAGTTTTCAACAAACAGCATCAAATATTTTAAAACCTTTTAAAGCCACCTTTCTATGTAAAGAAGCAATAACTTAAGAGAATCCAGAATGAGCAAACCTTATCCCAATTTGTTTTCACTTTCAAGATTTATTCCTGATGTGCTGATGACACCAACATTTTGCACACGCTCTTATATGTAACTAAAACTTGTAGCTGAAACCACTGAGCCATGCACTTCATGCCCAAGAGTGGCTTGACAATTTCCAAGACAGCCTTACCTATTCCCAACCTTCGGTAAGGGGCCAGACATCCAAGCGTCATGATGTACAGTCTTTTCTGATTCTGAGAATGATCTACTCTACAGCACACTGCACCCACTGCAATATCATTGAAATAGGCTGCCAAAAAGAGGGGTGGGGAAAAGGACAAAAAGAAAGCATATTTATTGCAATTTCTTATCTACCATATCTCTAGGATCTGGGGTAAATATAGGTGTAAGAATACCACTTAAATGTGTAAGAAACATTTTCATTTTAAATATGTATCAATAAGTGATCCCATCTTGAACTAACTTCATGTACTGTATTACGTATCAGGCCAAACAAGAAGCTCTAATTCTCATTAATACCATACATCTGGGCCAAGCTGGAAGGAGCTTGTGTGGTGGAAAAGTCCTTCATTAAAACAGAAATAAATAACCCTGCACTGGTACAATATGCCAGGCAGAAGGACACTGTAGACCCACTTTCCCTGGTTCAATATATGCAAGACATATTTGTATTGGTGAGCACTGAAATGAAACCATTATCCAAGTGCAAATTAAAGTGATACGATTAAGGCACAGTTACAATCTCAGTGAGAATGAGGTCTCAGAAGACTTCTGGAAAACACTGAAGCAAGCATATGATGAGCAGTGATTCACTACTCTGCTCATCACTTTCATCATGCTCTATCGTCTTGTGGCAACAGGGCAAACAGCTCTCCACAGTCAACTGGACCTAGGGAACAAGCTTCATACAGTCATCCCAAGCTTCAGGTGCTCAGTACAATTAAAAGTAAGGTTTCTATCACTTAACTAGGGAGGACAGCTGGATAGCTATACATGGCACTCTAATCACTGGTTGTCTATTACAGTACCAAGATGAGCTCCAGCCTTTCCCTCCAGCTGTCCAGAAAAAAAATGGGGAATCCATTTTGTTGGTAACAGCTATGTCAATCAGAACTCTCTGGACAACTCTCAAAACAAGCTCTCTTTCTTCAGCTCTGAAAACTTGAAGCTGGAAAGGAATCAGGAAATTGTCCCAACTTCTAGTAAAAGGGCACTGTAAAGTCATGGCTACAGACCTAGGCACACTTACCTGGGCATCAGACCAACTGAATTTAGCATACTTTACTTCTGGGTAAGCATGCACAACAATGGCTAAAGGGAAGGGCAAAAATAATAACTGCATGCTGCCAAGTCGCTTCTGACTTATGTCAACCCTTTTCAGGGTTTTCTCCGTAGGGAATACATAGAAGTGGTTTACCATTCCCTTCTGTTGGGGGATTCCCGGGACTGTGCAGGTTACCCAAGCCCACACAGGCTGGCTCTTCTCCCTGGAGGCACAGTGGGGAATTGAACTCTCAGCCTCTGGCTCTGCAGCTGGATAATGAAACCACTGAGCTAGAGGCTGTTACCAGTTAAAATTTGTGAATCCCTGCTGAGCCTCCAAAGGAAAAAAGATTCACAACTAAGAGGGTGATAAATCACAATTTTATAAGTTGCCAGTTCACTGTATGGAAGTCAAGAGGAAGCAAGCGATGATGCTAAGGTACTGACAACTTGCTAAAACCTTTAACTGGACAACGGATAAAAGTTGAATGGCTGTGAAGGGAGGTGCAATGATACCTTGGGACTGTTTATGGCTAAAACAAAGGGAGGGGAGGATACAATCAAGTGAAATGTGGAGAAAACAACAGCCTCAAGTTTTTTTAAAAAAAATGTCTATCATGGAAGATGTCTGGACAAAAGGCAGACAATACTTTTGTAATACTTTTATAATACTATGGATTAATACTGGATTACACAAATCATGTTTATATAACAAACATAGTTTCACACAAACTAAATATATGGAAAAGCAAAGATCAGGAAACATAAGGTGTAATGGAACTAGCAGAAAAACAATGGGTAGCTATTCTATTCATCCACCTAGGTAAATAAAGAACAAAATGTTATACCCAGTTTGGCAAGCTCTCCAACTTCTAACACATCCTTGTAGAACTTGTCATTGTAGCTGACAGGAAAGATGACTTGGTTTAACCGCTTCAGCTGTTTAATGTTGTGCGGCGTCACATCACCCAGTTCGATCCGGCTACTGGAACAAATTAAAACATGCTCAATCCCCATAGGACTCCCATTTGTACTATGATATAGCAAATTATATATATATTAAAGACTGGCCACCCTGACACATTCAGATGTTTTCACACAGTGTCCTTCAAATGTTAGCTAATTCTGTACAGAACCACCCTATATGTATTACTGAAGAAAGAACTGTGACGGACGGACAGACGGAAGGAAACCGTTCAAAGGGTGCAAGAGACCACTTGGCTTGCTCATTAACCACCTCCATGCCAATAAAATACAGGATTTGATGCAGGGTGGATTTGATTTAAATCACTATTTAAATGTTTAATATGGTATTTTTGACTATTTAAATTTTAAAAATAATTTTAGATTTAAATCAATATTTAAATTGATTTGATTTAAACAAATCATTGATTTTTATCCACCCTGATTTTGTGCATGTAGAACCATAGCCGGACGTCTCAAGTAACCTTTTTTTGAATCCTATGACCATTAGTCTGCCTGTCATTTGGAAGAAAAATCACAGCAAATATATAGACCAGACTGACCTGTTTCCAGATCTAAAACTGGAGCTGTTTATTTGGCCAATAAAACTGTGGGTGATATATAAGTGGGGTTAAGAAGAAGTAAAGTTGCCAGATTTTTTAAATACTATTCCTTCCACATGAGTAAGATAGCAACATGGAATAATTACGTCTTTTTCTTTCTTAGATGCATGAGGCTGTACAGATAAATTGTTCAGGTGACAGGTTCTATTATAACTAGAGATGGGGTATTCGAATACAAATACGAATATCCCCGCACAGCTGGGGTTAACAAGGGTCCACCCCTTGGGGCCCAATTATCCACTCACATGTCGGCCAGCAGCCTCACTCATCCTTCCAATCACTCCTGCAGCGCCGCTCTCTTCCTGCTCGGGTAGCCACTCCAGGCAAGGGGAGGGAGGACGAGTCTTCTTGCATGGCTACCAAATCAGTAGCCAAGCAAGACATGAGTGGGGCTTCAGGAGTGATTGGAAGGATGAGCGAGGCTGCCGCCACCACCACTGCCACCACTGGATGCACGAGTGGACAGTCTAGCCTCAGGGGCCAGACCCTCATTAACTCAAGTTGCGCAGGGATATTCGTATACAAATATCCTCATCTCCAATTATAACCCATTACCTTTCGTCTTCATTATTTGGAAGTGGAGATCTATGACAGAGGTAAAAGGCATCATGACATTTGCAGACATCTAGCATCCCTAATCTCCCTTTTCCCACTCCTAGGTTTGAGAATAACTTGGATATTCTAAAGGGTTTTGTTTTTTTAAAAAAATAATGTGTTGATTAAGTTTTGGTAATTCTGTGTAGTTTTCAGAAGGAGCATGGTAGGAAAAGTCTAAAAAATAAAAGTTAATTTGGGAAGCATGTTCACGGGACATAAAGGGCAAAATTTAACTGGCAATTGCGTGTGTGAAATGTCTTAAGTAACAGCATCATTAGCGGCAACTTACTCACACAACTTATACCATTTTGCTTAAACAAATGTAGATAACCAGTTTCATTTGGTCCATCTAGTAAGATCTTCTTTAATTTGAATCCACACAGATCTATAGTTGATTTTCCTCAGTGTGGATAGGATTTTGGGAGATGTTCACACTTAGGTACCTGCTAAAACTGAGGATTGTGTTTAGCCAAATGATTGAACTAAGTATGGGTTTGCTTAGTACCTGCATATTTACACAGAGCCTCGGACTTATCACAAAGAATTTGCAAAGCAGCTAACTTTGTTATATTCCTTGACAATTTCCTCTGCTTCAGTGTCTGAGTATGAGGTAATGAGACTGCACAGTCTGTGAAACAGCCAACTTTGTGCTGTGGGTCTCCGCAGTGGATCTAATTATTTTCCAGCATGTGCAAAAGGAAGAGAGGAGATAAAGACAACTGTGACAAGTTCCTCTTTGTAAAGAAAAAAGATCCCTTAGGATACAACAACTGCCTTGGAATTATTGTACAGATTTCTAATTACTGGTATGAATTATGTGCCCACTTTCTCCATAATCTTCCTGGCATGTGCACAAATCTTCCAGGGGGCTGACAGTAGGGTGCTGGTAGCAATCACAGACAGCAGCTGACTTCTAAATCAAGATTTGTAGACACAAACACCAGAATTTATAGACCTCCCACACAGCAACCAGTTTAATGGGTCTACTGTAGTTGGAACTCACTGTATTTCAGCCACAATAAACTGGAATAAAAAGTTCCCTTAGGAATACAATAAAGGCTAAACAAGCTTTACATTCAGAGGGTCTGTATGCTACGACTGCAGATACCTGGATTGATAAAGAGTTCTATGCAGGTTTTAGAGAAATGTTGTTGATTTCACATTTCACAACCCAGCTTCTCAAACACAAGATGAGCTAATATATGTCTAGCCACAAGATAAATACAGAGGGTGTGTTTTCAATCAGTGCAATTAAAGTACCACTACATACAAACTCAAGGTTGGGCAACCTCCAGAGGCCAAGAGACTGGCTACTCAATGGAGACCATACACCAAGCCTGCCACAATTTCTTTGGTAAAATCTCTACTTTCGTTTCATACAAAGAAGGCATTTCCTGTTTTTAAGGACAGTGTTACTCTTGAACACATCTAGGAAGTGGACTGCCTAACCCCGCCCCCAAAAGATACATGCCACTCAAATATCAATGGCAAAACCCTCCACTATGTACATAAAGTTTCTCCTCCAAGGTTCAGGAGTGGTGGAGGAGAGAGAAGTACAATATATCACAGAAGTGAGTACACCCTCTCATATTTCATAAATATTTTAGTACTGCACAGTGGTACCTCGCAAGACGACCCGGCGGACCAACGATGAATCCGCATTACAATGACTTTCGTTATAGTGATTGGCAAAACAGTCATTCCAATGGGGGATTTTCACTGGACCTCGATTAGGTCTGTGCTTCACGAACCGTTTGTTCGCAAGACGATTTTTCTGGCTCCGCAAAATGGCTGCCCTGTGTTTTCCAGACCCATGCTTCACAGGGCATCCATGTTTGCAGCTGATTGGCGCTCGCAAAATGGCTTCCCTATGGGTGATCTTCGCTGGACGACGAGGTATTTTCCCCATTGGAACGCATTAAACGGGTCTCATTGCATTCCAATGGGGAAACTGATTTTGCATGACAATGATTTTGCTAAACAGAGATTTTCCCGGAACGGAGTATCGTCGTCATGCGGGGCACCACTGTATATCTTTTCATATGACAACATTGAAGAAATGACACTTGGCTGCAATGTAAAGCAGTTGAGTATACAGCTTGTATAACAGTGTAAATGTGCTGTGCCCTGAAAAGAACGCAACACACAGCCATTACTGTTTAAACCGCTGACAACAAAAGTGAGTACACCCCTAATTAACAATAAGCCCTATTATGATGGTATACAGCTCAACGCAACACACAGCCATTACTGTTTAAACCGCTGCCACCATTGTGCAGCAACCAGAAGATGACATGACTGTATTTGAACAAATGTAGATTGTACATGAAAAAAATAAAACATCCCCTGAAAATAAGCCCGAATGTGTTTTTGGAGCAAAAATTAATATAAAACTCTGTCTTATTTTTGGGAAACACGGTATGTATGAATAACAAGTCATAATGTCATGGCATGTGGTAGAAATCTACCCCAAAATTTTTACAAGTAAAATAGTCTGTACCTGATACATCTGAAGTACAGTACTAAATATAATTAACTATTTTTATTTCAACTATGTCTAGTTGAGGAAGTCCATTAGACCAGTGAGACAAGTCAGCAAGTAGCCACTGACTAATGATGCTGAGCTCAACAGATACCTCAATAGTGAAAAAGCAATCATCTTTTGCAAGGGATACACACCTTTGTGGAACTGTTCTGTGAAAACAAATTTCAGCATTACCTCTGTCTCTCTCAGGAAATCCTTTCTGGCACATGAAGGTAGAACCTGTTTTTTAAATCAAGCAACCTGGAAGAGCAGAGCTCCTAACATCATCCCTCCCCTTGACTAAATACTGAGCAGAACACAATTATGTGCGCCATGTTTTAACTGGCTCTTGGAACACACCTATCAGGCATTTAACGCATCTATCAGCTGCTGAAAACTGGAGAGCTATGAGTGGATGGGTGGGTGGGTATGGGAATCTCTTCAAGAAAGTAGCCTGGGTCACTTATAGGTCTAACTCAAAAACGTCTGTGTAAATAACACAGAGATAATTCTGTGCAGCAGAAGGTAAGTGTGCTGCACAAGTAAAAGCTGAATTACCTTCCGAGACAGCATAAAGGTAGTGTAGAACAGCTTATAGTACTCTATCCATATACATGTTTAGGAAATATTTAACTGCAGGTGGAAAACAGTGTAATTAGATATTTTAAACTGGCCTTATCTTTGTAACACAAATCAACCCACCTGAAACCATTCAGGATAGGAACACCTGATTGAGTTGCTTAAGATTTTAAATGTTTAAAATTACATTAGGTTCAGATTATTTCACACTCTATTACAAAACACTACATAACCAGTAGCTCAGTGGTACGGGCAAGAAGCCTAGAGAAATGAGCATACATATTACTTTGTCTCCAACAGGGAGCTATCAATACCATGTGACCAAAGCTAATGTGGTAGTATATATGACAGCAGAGATGGGTGGAAAGGAGGGCACTAAAGAACATTCACCTCACCTGTACTCTCAGGATCTTCCTTAGCTGCTTCTGCTACATAAAAATCTTGTTTCTGCCTCAAATACTTGCTCCACTACCTAGTTATATTATTTACCTACATGTATCATTTAGTGCTACATCTTCATGTTTAGCACGTGTAAATTCGTACCACAATGGGCAGATACTGTACATTCAGCAGCAGATGAATGGATTGGAACCAGCCGAGCAACTAGTGCCAGGAATAATGCTGGATGGAATGTGTGGTATGTATCTGAGTAGATAATGAAGAAATGTTGACAATGTATGGACAATTTACAGAAATGGG